CAAAGTCATCCAGAGATTCTAGAAAGTTCTCTTTACCGCAAAAGGCAAACGCCAAGGTCAGTGGCTGTGAGTGAGCCTTGTACTTGCGTTGCTTCCTGTTGCTACACTTGTACCTGCGCAAGCGTGGCTCCCACGGTCAGTCCCTCCCCTCCCCCCCCCGCCCCCCCCCCCCCCCCCGTGACTTCTCTGTTCTGCCTGTGACACTATTCTTTGTCCACCACCCAGCAGCCCTGTCACTAAGCTCGGTGACTCAGCCCTTTCCTTTGGTGTCCCGGGCCACTGCAGTCCCCATTGCGCCCCTGGCTCCCCAGGGAGGCTCGGGAGACTGTCCCCTTGCCCCCTTTTCCTTCTGGGGACCTGAGACCTCCCACAGACCTGGGACTCTCAGCTACCACCAGACGCCGCTTGTCGCTAGATCATGCACAGTGAAGGGGCCAAGAAACAACTCTGGAACCAAAACAGTGGTTTGCTCACTAGCAAACAAAATCAAAGGGCACAGCGACCAAAGGGCAGCCTGCGTGGCAGGCCTACGTGCCAGGTTAACAGTACCAAGTCCACCTGTGGGAGTCAGAAGACAGAGCCAAGGTCGAGCCAACTGAATATCGTGAAACTGGGGGCAGAATGGGACGGGAGGAGGGCAAGGCAGTCACTTCCTGACCCTGGCGACTAGTTCAACAGCCCACAGGACAACAGGACAAGCGCCGAGGGATGGAGAGTGTCAGCTCGGAAGGCAAGGCCGGCCCTCCAGCTGCTCCACGTCCAGTTCAACAGTCCACGCCCTCGCCTTGGGTGCCTTCTCGTACTCTGTGGTGCCAGGCCTGTGTCCAGAGCTACCTGAGCTCAGGCCACACGCAGTCTCTTTACCCAGTTCACCAACAGGACCATCTCGCCCTCTCACAAACACCAGCACACGCTGGTTCTAGGGGAAGGGAACACAGAAACCTCTGACAATCCCTTTCTCCAGCCTCCAGAAGACAGCTGAGGGTACGGAGAGAAGTTATTGTGTATATTCCTGTCATTCAGAACGAGGTAGAGACAGAATATGGGTAAAACGTGTAATCCTGTAACCCTAGCTACTCAGGAGGCTGAGATCTGAGGATTGTGGTTCAAAGCCAGCCCGGACAGGAAAGTCCATGAGACTCTTATCTCCAATAAACCACCAGAAAAGCAGAAGTGGCCCTGTGGCTTAAGTGGTAGAGCGCTCGCATTGACTGAAGAGCTGAGGGACAGCGCTCAGGCCGAGTTCAAGTCCTATAACCGACAGACACACACACACACACACACACACACACACACACACACACACACACACACACGTGTAGCAATGGAGAAGGTCTTGAGGGGATAGAGAGGGGATTTCAATGGACAAAGTAGAAATGAGAGAAGCAGCATTGTGTTACGTGTGAGGAGGTGAGTGTGGTGCAGTGAACAGACTAGAAGAGCAGATATCAAATGCTGTTGACTGATTACAAAAATACATATGTATTCACAGAGAAGGATCTCCATTCATTCAAATATCAAGAAAGGAAAATTCTGTGTTGTTATGCTTCATCTCCAATTTTAAACAGGAGGTTTAAGGAATATCTCACTTGGGATTGACGTGGACTCACGGTTCAAACTTGTGACTAAGCACACCAATTTGGGCTCCAGCCATGAGGATTTTGTGCCACCTGTCCAGGAAAGCCCGGCCCGCTGTGGCAATGGCAGGAGGAACCCCAACCCCCTGCCTTGCTGCTTCTCCTGAACCCCTGTCTCCCTGGGAGCCCACAGCCGACTCTGGATCACCCGGACCATCTGGTAAGGCTTCCCAAGCGTTTTAAATGTCAGACTTCTCAAGTGACTTCTTAAAAGTCAAGAAGCCTGACTTGATGTCCTGCACCCATGCCAGCCCCAAGTCCTTATTGTAAAAGTTGGGAACTGACACAGGGTGGAGATTAGGATGGGTCCCCTGCTGTCACATGGCTGAACCATTTCTCTCTCCATGGGGGAGAAAGCACAAGACACTGTCTGAACAAAACCTAGAGCAAAAGCACGGGGAGATGTGGCGCAAGTGGTAGAGCACTTGCCAAACAGGCCTGAGCCCCAGAGTTCAAAAGCAACACCAAGAACCCAGGAAGGGTAGGGATGTAGCTCAGGAGCAGAGCACCTGCCTAACTTTCCCGAGTCCTTGGGATTGATCTCCAGCACCACCTGGTTGCAAGATAAAGACAGAAGCAAAGAACACAGAGATAACCACGGTAGCAGTGGTACCTTATCTTTGGTTGGGAAAATGGTAGTGATTTTTTTGTGCCTTGTCTTCTTTTTCTTTTTTAAATGAGTATGCATTACAATTTTTATTCAAAAACAAAAAGGAGAGACTTTGCTACTGTCTAGATTTTTCTTTCCAGGGTTCCTAGCGGAGCTTTGATCTGCTTGTTTCAGTAAAAGCAAACACTTCTTATGAACAAAAATATGCATCACTAGGTAAATATTGACCTGTTGCTAAGTGAGCAAGAAGCACTTTACCCACCAAAGTAAAGCTTCAGACATTTGTACACAAAAGATACATTTTCAGATGTGTCTTTGGGGCCAATTATCTAAAAAAAGAGGTTTAAAAACTGGCTTTAATGCTGAGAGAGAAAAACATCCTCCACTTCATAGCAAGCGCTGAGAGTTCACCTTCTGTCCACGTGCTTCCTCCCCCTAGAACCGGAGGAGCCTCTGTGCTGATGTGCCCAAGTCACAGTAAGAGGCTCCTGACAGCCATAGGTGCAGAGCAATCCCAGCCGTCCCAGCTGCCGGCAGGAAATCGGCTAACCGAGCCTTCTAGCCAAGGCCAGGGCTGGGGGGCTGCAGGCAGCTCTCCTCCTAGGAAAGGTCTTTGGAAGCTAAGAGATGCCCTATCACCTGTCAGAGTTAGATGTTTCCTGCTCTCAGCTTCAAATAAGCGAAGCCATTATGAAAATCTGACCCAGACAAAGAACATCAGGATGACAGTGGCTTCCCCCAAAGGGGTGGGGTTAGAGGTCATGTGGGAATCGGAGGTACTTGGACGGGGGGGGGGGGGGGGGGGCCGGGGGGCAGTCCTGCTAATGACCCTCCTTGTGGGCAGCCTTTTCCTGCTCAGTGTCTCACCTGCACTCTGACAAAGTGTCCCGGGCACTAGCCCATGAGTCAGGAGGGAGTCGGCTCTGATGTCACTCGTTTAGGCTTTTTCCTCCCTGACATTCCCAGTGTCCTCATCCTTAACATGACAGGAGAGATGATCCAACCTCCATGCCACTGGGAATAGCAGAGAGGACTAGGGGTCCGAGTGTCAGACTCAAATGCAGTCAACACAGGCAAAGAGGAACCGAGAGGACCTGTTACTGCACTGCAGAAGCACATACAGCAATGCTGTCATTCGACTCTGTCAGACGTGAGGGGCCAGAGCAGAGATGGGAAAAGGACCCTTCTGCCTTGCAGAAGGGTGGCACACACCTATAACCCTAGCTACTCAGGAGGCTGAAGCCTGAGGATCACCATTCAAAGCCAGCCCGGGCAGAAAAATCCATGAGACTCTGATTCAACCAAGTGGAAGTGGTACTGTGGCTCAAAGTAGTAGAGTGCTAGTCTTGAGCCTTAAAATAAAAAAGCTCAGACAGTTCCTAGGCCCTGAGTTTAAGTCCTACAATTGACAGAAGAAGAGGAGGAAGAGGAGGAAGAGGAGGAAGAGGAGGAGGAGGGGGGGGAGAGGAGGGGGAGGGGGAGGAGGGGGAGGAGGAGGAGGAGGAGGAGGGGGGAAGGAGGAGGAGGAGGAGGAGAGGAGGAGGAGGAAGAGGTGGAGGAGGGGGGAAGAGGAGGGGGAGGAGGAGGAGGGGGAGGAAGAGGAGGGGGGAGGAGGGGGAGGAGGAGGAGCAGGGGGAGGGGGAGGAGGAGGAGGAGGAGGAGGAGAGGAGGAGGGGGAAGAGGAGGAGGAGGAAGGGGAGGAGGAGGAAGAGGAGAAGGAGGAGGAGGAGAGGAGGAGGGGGAGGAGGAGGAGGAGGAGGGGGAGGAGGAGGAGGAGGAGGAGGGGGAGGAGGGGAAGGAGGAGGAGGAGGAGGGGGGAGGAGGAGGAGGGGGGAAGGAGGAGAAGGAGGAGGAGGAGAGGAGGAGGAGGAAGAGGTGGAGGAGGGGGGAAGAGGAGGGGGAGGAGGAGGAGGAGGGGGAGGAAGAGGAAGGGGGAGGAGGGGGAGGAGGAGGAGCAGGGGGAGGAGGAGGAGGAGGAGGAGGAGAGGAGGAGGGGGAAGAGGAGGAGGAGGAAGGGGAGGAGGAGGAAGAGGAGAAGGAGGAGGAGGAGAGGAGGAGGGGGAGGAGGAGGAGGAGGAGGGGGAGGAGGGGGGGAGAAGGAAGAGGAGGAGGAGGAAGAATCCTTCTGCCCTCTAATCGTCTATCCTGTTCCAGTCAGAGGGCTGCATGCTTGGAGTTCCGCTGCATGACTAACGTCCTAACGTGCCCAGGAGGCAGGGTCCACCCATGATGGGAGGGATAGGTCTGGGGAACTGGTCTTTTCATGCTCATTTCAAATCATTGCTAATTCCAGGGCTGGGAAGGTGGCTCAGTGGTAGAGCGCTTGCCTTGCATGCATGAGGCCCTGGGTTCGATTCCTCAGCACCACATAAGCAAAAAGAAAAAAACCGGAAGTGGCGCTGTGGCTCAAGTGGTAGAGCACTAGCCTTGAGCTGAAGAGCTGAAGGACAGCGCCCAGGCCTAGAGTTGAGGCCCCATGACCGGACCAAAAACAAAACAAAACAAATCATTGCTAATTCCTGTACCAACTTCAGCTCTGCCTTTAACCTAAGCCCTCTCCATCCTCCTCATCCAGGATGCAGCCAGGCCACGGGCCTGGGACCGGAAGATTGGTGCCAATGCCCACGCATAGGCCCAGAGAGATGCTCACATCCTACACCTGGGCCCGAGCTCCAAGACATGGTACCACAGTGGGCACAAGTTACCTGGCTGCTCTAGATCAGCACCTTGGATTATGATTAGCATGTACTCACTCTTTGGTAAGAAGAGGACAAGACTTGAGCAGAAACCTCGAGAGCCCTGAGTCCTGGAAGTAGAGGTCAGGTGGAGCGGTGGGGCTCTTCAGGTTCAAACAGCGGACGATCACATACAGCACGGCGGCCACAGCAGCCAGCTTCACCCCGTCAAACACGGCCGGGAGCTCGGGGGTCTCCAGCATAGCATTCATCTTGATCTGGGGAGCGGAGGCACACGTCTGGGGTCACAAATACAGCGAGGGAGGCGGGAGCGCATCACCTGCACGTCCTGCTGTGGCCGTGCCTGCCAAGTGTCCACAGGGGGCTTCAGGCAGACAGCGGCAGCGCCTGACAGCGCAGGCCCCCAGGCAACGCCCGGTCCCAGCCCCACAGCCCCACATGCTGACAGCCTGCGGAGGGCATTGCTGACTCTCTACTCTCACGGGCATTTTGGAGATAAGTAGATTTGAACTGGGATGCTGGTGGTTCACGCCTGTCGTCATAGCTCCGTGGGAAGCCAAGATCAGGAGGATGGAGGTTCCAAGCCAACCCAGGCAGAAAAGTCTGTGAAACTCCATCTCAACAGAAGAAGCTGGGCACAGTGATAGACGCCTGTCATCCCAGCTGGGGCAGGGCAGGGGAGGGGGGGGGGGTGAAGTGAAAAATAGTTAGGATTGCTGTCTATTCCCAGGCAGGAACAAAGAACCTAATTTCAATAATAACCAGTGAAAAGCAGGGCTGGAGTTGTGATTCAGCAGTAGAGTATCTGTGTAGCAAGCATGAGCCCTGAGTTCAAATTCTATTATAGCAAAAACAAAACCAAAGTCCTTTTGAGAATGGGAAAAATAAAGACAGGTCAGAAAGGGAGGGGCTGGGCTCTGATTTCCCCTAACTGGCTGCCCTGGTCTCTCTGTGAACGTCATCCACCTCTGGTGTGTGCTAAGTGTTGTGGACAGACGTGTGGACCGGGCTGCCGGAGTCCTGTGTGCCTGCTGGCCCCGGCTCTATTTTCAGAGCAGGCTGGATAAAACCACCCGGTTCAGCCTCAGCCATCTGCCCCTCAGAGGATCCCTGGCACCGGAGTCCTGCTGAGATTCAACCCAGGTTGAATCAGTCGTGGTACTTGAGGCTTTTGCGCCATGTGAAATGGAGCTTGCCAACTTTTGTTCTTATAGAAGACACCTGATGTAGTCATTAGTCCAAAAGGAGGCTAAAGGTAGCCACCAAACCAAAACTCAAAATTGCAATACAGAACATACTTATGCATATTTGATTTCTCCCAGGCTCTCCTAATTTTTCATCTTTGGAGGTAGATTTACTTTATATACAACATACACACATACACACACACGTACCACACACAGAGACCCCTTTCCAAACATCATGGAAACATCAACAGCAAATGCAGCAGCAACCAAAATCCAGCCATTTCCCTGCTGCCCACCAGCATGTCAGGACATCAGCTGCTGTCTTTAGAACTAGGGAAACCACACAGGAAGGAGAGGATGGTAACTCTCAGAGCCAGGTAGCCATGGCAACTGCCTCCCTGCAAAGGTTCCAATACCCTCTGCTAAAGGCAGGAATCATGAGGACTTCGGGAGCCTACAGTTGAGAGGGAATAGGCTGGGCAAAACAGTCTCCAAAAAGACAACTCCAGAGAACTTTCTCCACTGGCCTCCCCTTGTCAGAACAAGAACAGACTGTACAGCTTCCCTGAGTGAGTGCGCATGAGGCTGGACCTTGGAGTGCATTCTTGGGTGCATGAACCTCTGGCCTGCGAGGAGTAGTTTGCTTAAACTTGACTTTTGGTCTGGAGCTAGCTACTCTGTAATCCTAGCTACTCAAGAGGCTGAAATCTGAGGATCATGGTTCAAGGCTGGCCCGTGCAGGAAAGTCTGTGAAACATATCTTTAACTAACTACCAAAAAAGCCAAAGTGGAGCTGTGGCTCAAGTGGTTGAGTGTTAGCTTTGAGCACAAAAGCTCAGGGGCAGTGCCCAGGTCCTGAGTTCAAGCCTCAGGAATGGCAAAAGACAAAACAAACCCAAAGTTGACTTCTGGCAGCACATCACCTCATTCCTGCGGTCATGGCTCTAATGGCTTTCTGTAAACACTTAACACAAAGATTCCTAACTTTGGGGAGCCTGTGGGGTCTCTACAGGAATCCCCAAGGTCTAGGAGCACCTGAAATATGCCCCAATGTTTGTACATAGTGGGGGAGGATTCTCAAAAGCACCTGTATCCTGAACGAGAGTACAGGCCACAGTGCTAAGAGACGCTTCCTGGGCTCCACCTTCGGCCTTGTCCCTCCTCTCCCTCCTCTTGCTGAAGATTTGTGGAGCTAAACCAGTGACCAACACACACCCAAGATGAAGCAGCTTCCCAGCGTGCATTTTAAAGACCTTAAAATTAAAAAGCAAAAACAAAAACACAACCAGGCCAGGAGGGTGACGCATGCCTGTAATCCCAGGCCTGCATAGCAAGACCATGTCTTAAACCAAAACTAAACAGCTGGAAGCTGTCATCCTAGCTACTTAGGAGGCTGAGATCTGAGGATCATGGGTCAAAGCTAGCCTGAGTGAGAAAGTCTGTGAGACTCTTCCCTCCAATTAAGTACTAAGGAGCCAAAAGTGGAGGTATAGTTCAAGTGATAGAGCACCAAAAGCTAAGGGACAGCACCCAGACCCTGAGTTCAAGCCCGGTACCAGCACAAACAAAAAGAAACTGAACAAACTAAAGAGTTTTTTTAAAAAACCACCAGAAATTTCAAAGACTCTCTGACTCCCGTGAGGTGAGATTAAGTAGAAAGTTTTTCGCCTGGGGGTGCCTGGGTCCCCAAAGCTGGGCCAGGTCCTACTGACTTAGAGGAATACACAAGTCCCTCCCTCTCCTTCTGTCCTCCTGGCTCACTAGCCGACACAAGCCTACGGGGAGGCGGAGAGGCAGAGCAAGAATAGGTCTGTGCGGTACATACCTGGCTCACTCACTCCTCTTAGCAAGAACACGAATTTTCCTCGGAGAGAGGTCCAGGTGGGCCAACCAGGTCAGATCTCTTATTCCAATCAACCTACAAGCTGAAAAGATTGCATGGTGACATTTCACAGGAGAAGTCATTTCATGGACATAAAGGCAGTCTTTACAGTCTTCTGGGAAAAAATGTAATTTCTTTAATTAACGTGTGGGCCATGTGGATGTTTGGCGTTTCATACCTGCCGGGGATAGCCCTTGGCAGATGACCAAGACTGGTGGCCATCTGCTGTATCTGTCTGGCTGAAGCTACCTGGTACTGACCTTACCCCTGATCCCTTAAGGAGGCTGCCCGCAATACCTGGCTGAGGCTCAAAGACCCAGGGCCCCAGAACAGTGAGCACAACGGGGGAGGCCGGGTCTGGATGGGGTGCCCAGAGGGGGGCTCCACAGGGGCACAGGGAGCTACAAGTGCTCAGGGTGAGACAGGGACACCATTGGGAATGTGGTAAAACATCTGTAGATTTCAAGACAGCAGAGGAAGGAAAAGAAGAATATGGATGCCGATGAGATTTCAAGATCACAGTTCGAAACAATCCCAGGCAGGAAAGTCTGTGAGACTCTTATCTCCAACTAAGCACCAAAAGCCAGAAGACAAGCTGTGGCTCAAGGGATACAGTGCCAGCCTTGAGGAAAAAAGCTAAGAGATGGTGTCCAGGTCCTGAGTTCAAGCCCCAATATAAAAAAGAAAAAAGAAGGAAAGAAACACGTACTTTTTGGAAAAAGCAATCTACAGTCCTATCTAGCTGTGGCTATCCTGACTGAAGATTCAAACTGATAATATCCGTAGTAAGAAATGAAGAGAAGTGGTGTGGAAAGCAGATGGAGAATGGAGGATTTAATACCTGGTCCTGATTTTTTACTGAGTCTGGAAAGCTCAAGGCTCTGAGGTTAAATCTTAGTCTCTACAACAAAAGAAAGGGCTGGGAATGTGGCTTAGTGGTAGAGTGCTTACCTAACATGCATAAAGCCCTGGGTTTGATTCCTTAGTACCACATACACAGAAAAAGCCAGAAATGGCACTGTGGCTTAAATGGTGGAGTGCTAGCCTTGAGCAAATGAAGCTCAGGGATAGCCCAGGTCCTGAGTTCAAGCTCCAGCACTGGCAAATAAATAAATACACACAGAAAAGCTTTAAAAGAAACATATTATAAGATAAAAAAAAAAGAGCTGGGAAGGTGGCTCAGTAGGAGAGTGCTTGCCTTGCATGAGGCCCTGGGTTTGATTCCTCAGCACCACATAAACAGAAAAAGCTGGAAGTGGTACTGTGGCTCACGTGGTAGAGCACTAGCCCTGAGCTGAAGCGCTAAGGGACAGTGCCCAGGCCCAGAGTTCAAGCCCCACGACCGACAAAAAAAAGATCCATGACTGGTACCCTTCCCACAAAAAAAAAAAGATAAGAAATAAATGATGAAAATCTTTTTTTTTGGGGGGGGGGTCTGGTTGTGAGGCCTGAACTCTGGCCTGGGCGCTGTCCCTCAGCTCTTCAGCTCAAGGCTAGCGCTCTACCACTTGAGCCACAGCACCACTTCCGCCTTTTTTTCTCCTGCTTATGTGGTGCTGAGGAATCGAACCCAGGGCCTCAGGCATGTAAGGCAAGCGCTTTACCACTGAGCCACCTTCCCAGCTCCTGATGAAAATCTTGTACCAAGAAAGTATACATATCAGCATATGCAACAACTATGTATGTGGTCCAGGTTAGAATGCCTCTGAGCTCCCTGTCAGAGAGGACAGAAAACCCTGATTGCCCTGCAAAATGGGAAGAGTTCACGTCCAGTGCTCGTACCCCAACGCATGACACGCCATATAAACGGGGTTCTGTGCGCGGAATTATTTTAAAACCTGTGGGACTTTACGTTCAGGACCTGAGTGAGTGACGGGCTAGGCAGTGCCCTGCTATGGTTTGGTGGTTGTTGTTGGTTTTAATAGCAAATGCAGAAGAGGATTAATTTTCTCAACCGTTGGAGACTGCCAAAGTTTTAACATTCCTTTCAGTTCAGGCAGTCTTGTGAGCGACTTATGATCACTGGGGCCCAAGCAGGCAGCTGTGACCCCGCTGGACCTTGCAGCCCCAGCATGGGTCAGCTCGGACACCCCCGGAATGGTGCTGGTGGCGTGAAGGGACATCTCCACCACTGTGTGCCCAGCACCTTCTAGGACTGCAATTAAGTGGAGTTTGCGTCCCAACTGCAAAGAAGAGACGCTTATGTTAAGGCTGTGTGCACAGTACAGATCTGTGAGAAGAGAATTTAGTCTAGGAAACAATTGAGTGAGGAAAGACTTATGGAGTCTAGGCGTTAGGGTGCTAATGCAGGATTTAGGGGACTGGGAGAGGAGGGGAAGATAAAGGAAGGGCGCGGGGGGGGGGGGGAACAATGCTTCTCTATTCGTCTGTCCATCCATCATCCATCTGTCCACCTAGTCCATCCATCCAAGGGTCAAACCAGGAATGAGCAGGACATTTTAGAACACAACTTGTCTTGCATTTTATATTCTGGTGTTCTTTCTTTCCAAGGCCAACCTGCCACTGTTAATGCTCTGAATTTGGTAGCTGTAACAAAACTTGGTGTTCACTATTTTGTGCATCCCGTCCCCCTTTCTAGGTGAGAGAGCAGGAGGCAGTTTAAAAGGAAAAGGAGGCCCAGAGGGCCGGGCATGTGTGTGCGGGAGGAGAGGAGAGGTAGTCTTCCCATTTTCCACCCTCTCTCTCCGCCTCACCTGGGCTGGGCTTCCCCTGCATCTGTAGCAAGCCCCGGCCCCACCCTGCTAGGTTATGAGTGGGGCTTAGGTGTTGTAACTGATAGTTAAACCTCTGTTTGTAGTTTCTCCATTAACAAAAGGATCCGAGGTGCTGCCCAACGCCAGCCGGCTTGCCATCTGGTCCTTCCAGGTGTCCCTCAGACTTCGAGACCAGCCTGACTGGTATTTCCAGCACTGGGCAGGGTTGGCCCCGTCCCCACTGCGCACAGGACACCACTGAAGGATGGAAGCTACTGCACTGAAGAAGCTCGTCTGCGTGCTGAGACCCGGCCAGGGCCCACTCTGCCTTTCCCTTTCAAGGTCACTAGGCCAGGAGGTGACCTTGAACAAGCCACTTAACCTTCCAGGCCCTAAAGACCTCAACTGTAAAAGGAGAGGTCTGCGGTAGAGGTGGCCAATGCCAGAGGCCGCTTCAGCTCAAAATGGCTGAGATTCTAAGACACAGTTGCAGCCCTTGGTGAAGGGACACAGGTAAAATCTGTAAGTGTGGTGTAGCAGAACCCGGGCCCGCTTCTGGCCTGCTTCTTAGACCACACGACAAAACTCACAGGAGCAACAACCCTCAGGGGCTTTGCTCTTTCTTCAAATAAATTAAATTCTCATCTGCGTTCTGGGTGCCAATAATCCCATGGCATTCATCAAGAAAGTGCCCAAAATATTAGAAATTACCACAAAAGATACACTTTCCTGATGAGCACAAAGGTCTCCTCAACATTTAATAACTGGCTGATGCACCATTTATTAACTTTCAGCCTTCAACAGGTTGAAAATTGATCTAGGACTCACCCTTCCACACTAGGACTCACCCTTCCACACTGAGCCTATGTTACTTAGTAAGTCACTGGATACCAGTGATCATCAAGTCCCCTACACTTCCAAGAAGCCGGGTGTGGTAGTGTGCACCTGTAATCCCAGCACTCAGAAGGCTGAGGCAGGAAGCTGGCAAGTTCAAGAGTTCTGACAGGCAGCTCCTTCCTGTTCTGTGCTAGAAGGGATCTTTGGAGCACGATACCCTGGGCTCTTCCTCCAGACCCCCCTCTATTGCTCAGGGTCTCTCCTGCCCCTCACCTGTGCCTCCTCCCTGCAGAAAAGTCCATGCTGGCTCAGCCTGGCTCTCCCAGAACACTGTCCTGCTCTGCCTTAGAACCCCAGGCTCCGGGGACTCAGGCTTCGCCTCTCGAGAGCACCCTGGGAGGGTGCTGGAGGTCTCAGTACCCTGCCACAGAGGGACTGCGAGGTCTCAAGGTGTGGCCCCCGCCAAGAGCCAGGCAACCCTGGCCCCTGGCCCTGCTCTCCTGCCTCTCAGTGGCTCTCGTGGCGGTGTGGTCACCACCCCACCTTGCAGTCAAAGTGAGCCAGCAGGTGACGCTCTGTTTCATCCTTCAGGGACTAGCAGAAGGTTGAGGAGGCACGGTAAGTATTGTGAGGCAGGCTTTACCCTTTTCTCTTTCCCAAATACAGTACCTCCGCTGCGGGGAGCAGGGATGCCAGCTCCTGCCAGTGCCGAGCGGCAGGCTGGCGGTCACATGGCTTCCATGGTGACCAGGCTTTAGGCGACGCATGCTGGCAGCAAAGGCAGATAAATATGGACAGCTGGTTTGCGTGCTGGCCCTGGGGACCCGGCAGACCTGAGCGGGGCTGCCTTCCCAGGGAAGCTACTGAACAAGCAGGAAAAAAATAAAAATTCAAAAGGAAGCATGTTGAGTTGATTTATTTTGGGGCTTGAGCTAAATGTATTGCTTTTCCGAGGAAAGAAACTGAAGTTCACACCCTTCAATGTTCCTGTCTCCCATTGGCCAGTACAAACCCCCTGCCTGTTGGGGCGCTGGCCTCCCTCCTTCCCGCCTCCCACTCTGGAAGCAAGTTTTCTCAGCCTCTGTAGAGCCTGAGGGCAAGTCCCAACTGCCACCCTGGCCGGCCAACAGCCTTCACCCTTTAGGTTTTAGCCAAACCTGCACATAACAGGCAGACATCTGGTCTACCTCTATGAACTACAGCACACCACAGACAGTGGGTGTGCCCCCACGCCAAGTGCGTACCCAGCTCCCACCTCAGGAACGTTCCTCTACTGGGTCTTCCCGGCACATGTGACCAGCCACACTTTGTCAGTGTCCTGAGGGGGCAGGGAGTGGCTAGCAAGGGGGGATGTATCAAGAATGCACTCGCCTGCAGAAGCAGGAAGCCGTTTCCTAGAGGCCACAGCCTACAGATGAAAAGGACAGATCCCACCGGAAAAGGGTCAGTACCTGGGGGGAGGGGGACGGAGCATAACCCTGAAAACAACATC